TGATGGAGTCTCTGATGTAAGCCGAGTTCTGTATAATTGATGACATGGGAGCAAGACCGCAGAAGCAGGTCAAGGCAGGTGGCTGAGGGCTCGGGGCTCACCCAAGGGCAGATGGGCACGTCTTGCAGGTAACTGTGCATTTAAATGGCTTACTACTCGTCTCGTTGGCAGTTATCCATTTCAGTTTAACGTTTTTAAAAAAATTCTATCCAGTTTCAAAAAGGTGAAGTAAGTAAATTAAGATACTTATTGATTACCAAGCCGAACTACTCAGTTTCAGTTGAAGGTGAAATGAAAATCGTTTTATAAACGACATAACAAGAATCGTAAATATTTGTCAATGAAATATAAACGGATTATATGTTACACAAATAATTGCTTTCGGTATCTACCAACATTTTTGATATAATTGTTGTTATTCCGTATTAAATTCGGTTAATCAAAATAAAAATTCCAAAAGGGTCAGACAACGAAGCGACCTAAATGGTATTTATGGTCCAATGCATTATGCATACCAATTAAATTGCCTTTAAATTGTAATCGATTTCTATGAAAAATAAATTATTTTATTTAGTGCATCAGGCTTGTCCTTGAAACAGGAAAAAATATCCCAATAGATAACCAATTTCAACGTGCCAGAAAAACGTTCCCTTTGGTCAGCTTCGAACGTGGCAAAAATCGATTTCGGCGACACTGGATGGGGATAGCTCCGTCGCTCGTTCTGGCTCCACTCGTGCAGGCAATAAAGCATTCCCAGGACCCATAATATTTGCCTAAACAAATGCCTTAGTCCCTGCATCGGAAGCCCCTCGGGCGGATACTGGCTCAACCTATGACAACAACAACCGGACAAACATTGCCAAGCGCAAGGACGATGGCAAAGGCATTCCCTATGCAAAAATTTATGCGGTCGGTCGCATAAACAAATTTCCACTATAAAACAAGCCAAACAAAAATTGCAAGCTGGCGCAAGTTGAAAAACCAATTCGATTTTGCCATATGCAATGCAAATCCTCGAGGGATTTCAAGAGGGGAGTACGCAGGGATATGCGGCACATGTTCTGAGCCCAGAAGTTGAAAGAAAAAATGTGGAAGAAACGGAAAAAAACGTTTGCATATGCTTTAATCAAAGGCAATGACGTACGGGAATGTGGTTCATTCTTAAAAACGTAGCCAGGATTCCAGAGAGGGTCGTCGGGGCTACGAGGATGGGGTTTCGAGAGAGGGTTTCCTCCAGAAACGGAACTGTTGACAAAGCCATGCGGGTAGCTGCTCAGCCAGGATTGCCAATGGACATTTGTGATTGTCCACTGGGAAGCCCAGCGCAGGCGCAAGGGTTAAACGGGAGAGTGGAGAGTGAATAACTGAGCAAAGAGAGTGGATAGCGGTGAGCGGAGAGAGGAGAGAGCTTTGCGGCGCTCTTTCTTTGCCGCCCTTTCTGCGGCTTACACGCCCCACTGGGTGGTTGTTGTTCTCTCGGCAGGGTTGCTTTTGACATTCTGTTTGCCATGTGCCCCACTGTAAGTCAAATATACACTAAAAAAATAATTCTTAAAAAATATTCTTGAAAAAGATTGGATTGAGAAACCATGTTTTTCAGTAAATAATCATGAGTTTTTAGGTCAAAGCTCTATGTCGATGTTCAAAAAAATTAAATTTAATGTATTTCTCAATCCCTGTAAAGATTGTTTAAGAGAGACTTTTTATATACCATAGATATTTAAGATCTAGCTTCAATTCACCAAAGTAATTTAATTTTTTCTGAACTTTATGTTGCTTATGACATGTTCTTTTTGAATTGGCTATTAACTATGAACTTTTATAATGAACACATTTTTTAAAGCCATTATCGGATTCCAGATTTCTTACAGTGTACCCTCCCCACTACACAATTTTTCCGCCCATCAACCCCCTCGTTTCTTGGTTGCCGCTTATAGCTTTTTAATTACAAATAGAAACTGTTAACATTTTTGTTTACGTTTATTAAACTAATTGGATGAGGCAATGTCGCTGCATAGTTTAAATTCTGGTCACCTGGCCTTTGCTGTGGATTTTCGGGCTGCAGGAACACCCACGGTTAGGGGCCTCCCGACTTTGTCTACAGTTGTAATCCCCCAGGTCATTAAGGCGTCTACGTGTCTGCAACAGCAGCAGCAGCAGCAGCAGCGCAGGATGCTTCTAGCCAGGACATTGTCGCCTGCCGATTGTCGCATGTTTTATTCAGTTCGGCGACGTTCTCCTCATCGCTGCCATCAGGTTGTAAATATTGAACAACACCAACAACACACAGCATCAACAGCGGGAGAGCCGAGAACAGAAATCCACCGGAAGCTAAAATGGTGCTCATATTTTAAGATGTTGCATTTTTGATCTGACGCGACAGTTTTTTTATTGCCCAAGACGAAGGACAACTTAATTGTTTGTTGGAAAAAGGATGAACGCCGAAAGATGGGGGAGCTTAAATTTCCAGAGTCGCTGGCACATGTCATTGGATTTGAAATGGAAAAGGGGAGAGAAAGAAATATAAAAAAAAGGAAAAACAAATATCAAAAGATGGACATAGAAATAGAGTAAGGAATGGAGATGCAAACGGAGATAGGGAAAAAAAAATATATTAAAGCCACTAGAGCTTAACTGAGCAACACATTTTGGCATTTTTATCGATAAGCCAAGTTGTCTGTCTTGTATCTTGGAGATATAAAAAACTTCAAAGGTCCTGCTTTTGAAAGATAAAAAGTTAGACGTTGCTAATGCCTGATGAAAAGTTTGCAAACTGTAAATGCAAAATTTGAAAAGAAAGTGTCATAAGTAAGTAACATAAAATTTAGGACAAATCTGGACTACAAAACATTTGTCATTGACATTTGACTAATAGTTACATCGTAATTATACAACATTTTACGAAAGTATATTTAAAACTAGTAGTTAGTCACATTGTTAATAGAATACATTCTTTAGTTTTATAATACTATTTGTTGTTAATTTTAATTTTTTATCCCAACACGACTACACATTTTGATTAGTCAATATGAAACGCAAGAAATATAGATGCACTAGAAAATATATGCGAATTTTATTGCTTGGCAATCTTCATACATTTCTTATAATGGTTCAACAATTTTAAAGTCCTTTTGATAGCATACACTTTATTGAATGCCAGTTTTCCCCTGCTCCCTAATAACAATGCCCTGCCATTTATCGACTTTTTCATTGTTGCATGGATTTATTTTTTTGTACGCCTGAGAGTAGAGTAGTTCATTAGGACAGTGCAATGTTGACAACAACGTTTTGAGGGTTGAACTTGGCTATTAATGCGGAACTATAATGCTCACATAAGAAACTAAGCTGACAAACACAGAAAACAAGACAGGGGAACACTGCTTGGGGTTGAAAATGGACGGACAATATTCATGAAATCATAAGTATTTCTGGATAGGTTACCGGTGACGTCATTGGCACAGAAAAATGATTGCATTTTATTGGTGATACTTGTACACACAGAAAAGGACATCAATCAATTTTGAGTATTCATCATTTTAGCTTAGCAATCCGCTGCTCCGTTTGTATATCAATATTTTGTGCGAAGACAATTTGATAACGAAGACGTTTAGCCATTTGCAGGGCCAACTTCAGTCGCACAAGTGTCTCCTTCATTTCCCAGGCCGCCCCACCTCGTCCCGCCCTTGCACCTTTTGCACCCTGATTAATGCCCTTACTGTCAGGCCAAACACCTCAAGTGCCCATTGAGGTCCCGTCTCCTTCTCCACCTTTTTCTCGAAGCTCGCAGGTGAGCACTCGTAAAACTCGAAAGCCAACATCCGCCCGCCATATTAAATTCTGCAATTCAACTTCGTTTTCGTGCAAAAACAAAAAACTGTCTATAAATACTGTTAAATGAGTGACGTGAAGACTCCTGCGTACAAGGACACTGAGGGAAATATATCACCTACTAAAATTTTGACCGAAAATGCACTCCCCAAATAATTATATTTACAAATAACTTTAACAACAAAAGAAAACCAAGCGATTTCACCTTTTTTAGGTATTATATCTCTGCGGCTGTTTTTAACAAAGTCCACTTAATTCAACTATATTTTTTCGTTGAACATTTAAACGTATTTAAATAAAACTTTTATCTCAAAACTAAAAACTCTTTCAAACAATAACTCCATCATTGAAAAATTGAAATTTAATACAGATGCTTCGATATATTTAAGATTTTGGTTTATACTGAAAAACGTTATATTTACTTTCTATGCAGTATTTAATTCATTCATTCTAACCCCGGATTAAAAACATCCCATTTAATAATGGCTTTTGAAACTCTATATAGTTTTTGAATCCCTTTTTTCTCTATATGTTTGTTTGTATTCGGCCATTCATACGTAGTTGCGGTTGTTTGTGGTTTCCCCAGAAATAATTGTAGGTGTATGGGTGTTTGTGAGTGGGGACGCACGGATGGATGGTTCGATGTTGTTTCCCAGTTGTTTTCGGTTGAAAATCGATAGCAACAAAAAATCCATAAAAACAAAACAGTAAGGAATCGGAAAAAATGTTAAATATGAAATGCATAACATAAAAAAAACAAAAACATGGCTATTATAGTTATTAAAAAAATTATATTCCAATTGCTTAAGTACAAAATATTACTATTTCAAATTGATCATTGGACAGAACCTTTTTCAGCCAAGCCATACAAAAATTGGGTTAAATAAATAAGCAACATGAGCTTTATAAAGATTTGCAAGCAAATAAACTTGTAACAAATAATTTAAAACATTTTATAAGAATCAAAATCAATTGAATGAAACTTAAAACTTAGAAAATACCACAAAACTCTTAAAAATCTAAACAAAAAGTCATGAAGAGTAGATAAAAAACAAATGATGACAAATAACATATTGGACTGTACCGCAGAAATCTTAAAAAACAAACTAAAAAACTAGGAAAATATAGGAACAATGCAAACCTGTGATGGATAATGTATGGGCTCTACGTACCAACTGTTTCCGCTTGGGTGTAAAATTTCAGAGGCTTTCCTTTCGGCCTTATACAAATCACTTCCGGGATGAACCGTTCACGTTGTTGCACCCACAGTGCACACATACAGACACCCGCTCCCGGACACACACACAGACAGCTGGCCACGAGACACCAACACACTGCCACACTCGCCTACACCTACACACACACACACACGCGAAGAAAAGGAAGAGGAGCTGCAACCTTTTTACTTTCTTTGTATTTGCCAAAAAAAATACTTTTCGCTTTTTTCCTTATGGCGCTCCTTAATTATATAATTTCGTTTCACTTAATGCACTTTACGATTTTACGCAATTGGCGCACATTCGTCGCATGATTTGCATAAACATTTTACTGATTTTTCCCATCGCACACACACACATACACTCGCACGCGGTCTGTGACGTACGCACACACACACAGAGGCGTACTTATTTTCTCCTTTTTTTTGTTGCCTATAATCGCGCTGCCGTTTACAGTTGGAAATGATGTTTCAACTAAAATAGTGTTTGTCCGTTCTTTTTTGGCCACGGCAAACGTTGTCTACAAACTGAGCAATGAAGCTCGTGAAAAGCCCCGTTTTGCAAAAGAGAGTGGGTGAGAGAGAAAGCCTGTGAGAGCGGAAGCACTTGTTTATTGTTGTTGTTGCTGCAATGGTGGTAGTTTGGCTGACACAGGGTGTCCACACTTCCAGGAGCCACCCTGTGAAAGAGATAACATGCGCGACGCACAGTGGGTCATTCAGAATCGAGAAATATTCGAATTTCAATAGAAGTCGAAATAAACAAGCCCAATTAAACTTAACCTCCTACATGTTTATAATTCACAAACGGAACTATACAAAGTAAACCGTTGGCGGATCCACAAGTGATTAAACTGGTGTAAGAACTATAGAAGCAGTTGCATTATGAAACTATTCTAAACGAAATTTGTTTGTTTTTAATCAGCACAAAATCTTGCATCCAAAACTAAAAACAAAAGATTTTCGAAGGAAATTATTCTTTTAATTTGAATAGTATCGACCATTTATATATTGCCTCCTAAGCGAAAATATATAAAACAAGAATAAAGTCTCGGATTGAATCATTCCATACGGTGGCACAAGTTTTAAAATTCCCTCCGATTTTAATCGAATACTAAGGTTTCTCACTTTTTGCGCTAGCACAGACACGAACCGGAAAGATGTGTGGGGTTTGTGTCCAAATAGGGTGGGTGGTGAAAATATGTAGCAAAATAAATAAAAATAAAATGTATGTTACAAATTTGATTTAGAAACATTTTTTCAGTAGATACAATTTGAGATAGCGATCCGTATACAACAAAATATGAACTGCCTTAAAACAATTTAATTGAATAAAATAAACACAATATTAAACAATATTAAATACAAAAAATTTAAAAAAAATGGAACAAAATAATACCACATATGTATATAAAAGCAAACGTCAAACAAAAATCACTTTCGTCAACGCCTTCAGCAGAATGACTCGTGTTTAAGATGTGACAGATTTACGGATCCAAAACTAATCCCCCGAAAGTAAAGAAATATTGGCGACATAAAAATACAGAGACAAGACAGAATTTCAATTTGTATCACTTTATTCAACGTTTTACGTTAATATTTTTTTGTTTTTTTAATAATATACTCTTTACTGTACTTTAGCAGTACTTTTATAGATATTTCTTTTTGGGTTTAGGGACTGCTCGCAATTTGAACATTTAAACAATTAAATATATATAAATAATTATAGACGTCACTTGCTAGATATAACATTAAGGGTATAAACTTAGGCTTACTATGTATGTGTGTATGTTTATGTATAGTCGTATATTATAATATAGTTTAGATATAGATATATGTACCTTTACATATCATTGCATTAGCACAGCACTATAAACACTTAATTGCCAGTATAAATAATGAATGTTCTTGCTGTCGCAAATTAAAACAATTTTCAACAGAAAACAAAAAACGACGATTTCTCTTCTCTTATTTAGAAATCATTGAAGTACTGCAAATCTCTTTGGTCTACTGCCTTGGCGGGTTTCCAATCCTTCTCGGGATAATCATCAAAATTTTTGGTATCCCCATCGTGATGTACATCGGGCAAAATTGGTGGCTGTAAATGATATAAATTCGGAAAATTATTATTTTGATGTGAATATCGTATATTTTTCACTAATGACTTATTATTTATGAGTATTTTAATTTGAGTAAAATAGTGTCTGATGAACAAACAAAGTCCCAAAAAACATAAACAAATGCAATACAATGTATATGTCATTTTTAAAACATAATTACTTATATTTAATTATTAATGGGTACCTCTCCAAATTACATTTTATTTTCAAAATCACTTCAAACATACGTCTTTAGCGGGCAAAAACTGAGAAAAGTGTGCAAAATTCAGCACGTTTGTAAAAATCATTTCTGACGCATTTAACCCATTGTCTCCCGCCGCCCAGGCAGAGGCGTTCATGTGGGCAATTAACACCTTTTTTTTCATATGCGAAATGCTCCTTTTGTTACATTTCACTCGCACTCGGACCAGCTGGTCTGAGCAGAGGGAATCGGCAGATTTATGGGTCTAACACCCACCCGGACGGCCGAAATAGATGCTGCGGTCATTAACTAAAGGCACAGCTAATTTGGTAAGCGGATTTGTTTATTTGCTTTTAATTACGAGAACGTATGAAAACACAATGGCCGACTGACAAAATGTGTGATGCAAAAATCCACACAAAGTAAGGTAACCACAATTACTGCTGGTTAAAAACGTAAAACTCTGAAATGGAGGAACCCCTTGAACTCACCTTTAGTTTCTTGCTGTAGACGTCATTCCAATTCAAGTGCTTGAACCAGCGATGCCTCTTCACGTCATCGGCGCCATTCTGTATGGTGGGAGGTATTTCGAAATCGGGGGAGGGGCGAACATAGAATGAAATACAAAATATTGGACATAAATAACGTTCTGCACTTGGTTGGCTCGTGTTGCAAAAACGCGCGACAAATCTATTAAAACACAAAAAAAAAGCAAAAGCGGCGTGGCGAAAGCAAAATTCGGTGCGAACATGAAATATGATTTTGAAGAAAATGTATTAGGCTAACTGACAAGGAGCATGTGCAGATCTATTTGCGATGGCCAACAATTAATTTTTGATATAAGCGATGCAACTTTTAATGCCAGCAACAAAAACTGGCCATCCAACTGTGACAAGTGTAAACAATTATCTATAAATATGGTGCCTAATAAGCCGGAAAATGTTAGCGAAAAGCTTGCCAAATATTTTTATGAGAGACTATCTAAGAAAAGGGGGGAAGTGTTTGAAGAGGTGGCATAAATAAATAAACTTTGACAGGGCTAATTTTACTAATCATTAAAAGAAATCGAATGGAATAAAAAGAAAACTTGATGGATTGTACAGCAGCTGAACAAACTTAATGCTCCATTATATATTTGTTTATCTATTCAATATTTTTATTTTTAAAAATTCTACATCTACATCTGATTGCCGATGATTCTCACCTTCATGTTGCCCAGTCGCTTGGTTCTATCATTCACCAGCAGCTTTTTGATCAAGTCTTTGGCAATGGGATCCATATGACGCTCCCACTCAATTTTACCGCTCAGTATCTTCTCGTAAATGCCGAAGGGTTGTTCATCGTAGAAAGGTGGATAGCCGACGAGCATTTCGTATATGAGAACTCCTAGAAGAGCATTCCCAATTATTATTCGTAATCCATGAAATTACAGCGTTACAACTTACCCAATGCCCACCAATCTACGGCCTTATTATGGCCCTTGGACTGTATTATTTCGGGTGCTATATACTCGGGTGTTCCACACAATGTCCAAGTGCGATCCCTCAGCTTTTTGGCGAATCCAAAATCTGTGATTTTCAAATGGCCATCCCGATTGATCAGTAGATTCTCTGGCTTCAGATCGCGGTACACAATTTGCAGGGAATGCAGGTATTCCAAGGCACTGACAATTTCAGCCGCGTAGAAATTGGCTAAGAAAGAAGTCATTTCCGTTGATTCAGAGTTCGAATTTAAAAGAAACTTTACTCACAAGTTTGACTAGTGAATTTTCCCGCATTCCGCAGATATGTGAACAGCTCTCCACCGCAGACGTAGTCAAATATCATATACAGATTTGAGTCATCCTTTGTTGACCATTCCCTGTAAGAAAAAAATATTATTTTAAAAACAAAATATATGTTTTTTGTATGAAACAAATAAGGCAAGGGCAATAAATATTAATATTTTTACAGCTTTTTGGGTGATATTGACCTTTTCAGATTTGGTTGAAAATAAAGGGGTAAACGTTAAAAAAATTTATTAAAATTTGATGGGTTTCTTTATTAATATTGTTTCCTTATTGAAATGAAACCAATTGTATAAAAAAAGATACAAAAAAATTCATGCTCGCTTTAATTTATACTTGACGAATCTTACAAAAGAACGTTAAAATTTTAAGTTGCAAAGGTCGATTTGAAAAATATATAAAATATGACAAATTTTCCATATTGTTCTACTTACAGACTGATGACAAACGGATGTCGTATTTCGCGCAATATATTCCGCTCGTTCTTTACGTGTTCAATCTGTTTGAGACGAATGACTTCGGTCATGGCCAAAATCTTCATGGCACAGTACTTCTCCGAAATGCGATCCCGACATAAGCACACTCGTCCAAAGGTGCCAGTGCCTGAAAGGGAGAAGAAGACGTAATGTAGGGTATCGAATTAGCAAATGCATCGAAGGCAAAACCACAAACAACATTCTTATATATCGGGGCATGCCCCATTAAAGTGTTTGCAAACGATATGGCAAAAGGTCTCGTTTTACCCAAAACGTCAGCGAGGAACAGTCGAGGTTAGAATAGTGGAACTGATATATGTGATTTTCTATTTTATTATAACTCTTTGAACATTTAATATATAATGAATTATTTTGTGTTCTTTCTCGAATTAAATTTATATTTTGAGAGGTAGTTTTTCTGTCGATCGTTAAATGTTTTCATTAAATAAAAGGTTAAACCGATATAAATTAATATTAGGAGAAATCCATTTTGGTTATAGGTTCAGTAAACAAATGAATGGGAGAAAAAATTAATTTTCTAAAATGTGTTAAATATAGAACTAATGGTATCGATTGGATACTATAGACTTCAAGTCAAGTATTTAAATAAACGAATCGAAAGAGGCAACTTATGCTTTTAGCATTTAATGATAGATATAACTAGTAGCACTTTTATGGCCGCAACTGTACCGTACACTTGAGCGGAGGGTGCATAATTACTGTTTTCACTGTCGAGCACGTTTTGAGGTTACAAAAGCAGACTGGCTGCCTTTTGCGACTAGGTAATATGCTCGGTACGGGGTGTTGGCTTACACGCCCAGCCGAGATTTTCTCAACCTTGAGTTTTTAATTGGGCTAACGTCCAAAACGCCGGGCACTCGGTGGGCGAACGAGTGACTAACTGGCAGGAAAGGAAACACGGAGCGTGTGAGACTCTCAGATTTCACATAAACACTTTGGGCCAGATACACTAAAGGCCAAGAGCGACGGCGGTAAATTTCTTCGTTTTCATTTTCGTTTTCTCTGTTTTGTTTTCCATGGCATGCCAAAACAACAAAACGGCTACAAATTGATTTGTCTTATAAATCAAAAACCGAAACGCAATCATTCCCCATTACAAACAGCGAGGGGGGCAGTGGGAAAAGTTTTGCTTTCTGCAGCTGCTTTTAGTTTTTCAGCACGTTTTCCCTGTGTGCGCAAAGCTATATGTTCCCGATCGGGCCAACAACAATTAGCCGTGATTTTCATTGTAATAAAGCAAAAGTGGGCAGATTATTGAACTCGGCCACAATCATTTGCCACGTGCGTTCCTACCAGAATATTAAACAAAAACGCCCCGAACAACTTGCGAGAATAGTTGGCTCCCCACAAATGCGGTCAAAAAAATATATATACGAATTGAGTTCTTTAATTTTTATTTTAAAAAGAGTATTACTTCTTATTTGGAAATTTCTAATCCTATAATATTTCAACTCAAATTAAATAAAAATGTTCAAGTTGGATTCAAACCAAAATTTAAAATAATTACAAATTTAATAAAAATTGAAAACTTTTATAACAATAATTTTTCTTTATTAAATTTTATCTGAAGTAGTCCAAAATAGTCAATAGTAACTTTTACAACTTTAATTTTCGAAATATCAGCACTATTATTTTGCCCCAAACTATACCAGGGTATAGTTGGGTGGGCGTGACCCGCCCCTTATGGGTGCACCTGAAGGGGGGTGGCAATCATTACACGTGCAAATGAAAATATGAATCTCGACATTGTAATTAATGAATTGTTCTTTTTGCTCTGCACAAATCGGTTTCTCGATTACGTAGTTCGAATGATTCAGCGAAGCAATGGGATTATATAAGCTTTGAAGTGGGGATGAAAAAGGGTGGAATCTGGGGGAGAAAATCATGAGAACCATTTTGATAAATCCCAGAGACGAGATGCATTTATGAACTAATAGCACTTCTGGCGAAATTAGTTGAAATTGCTACTTTCAAGAGATATCCTCGAGGTTTCCCAGAGCTTGCAAAAATATATTTTTCCACCCAAAAAGATTCCAAAATGATTAAAACATTTTTTCTGAAACAAAAAGAACCCCCAATATCGAACTTTGAACACCTCTACTTAAATATGCATTAACGATTTAAACAAATCAAAATAAATAGCTCATAAAACACGCGTTTGTTTAACATCTTTCTATGATATAGACATTGATTAGCCATAGCCTCGGCATTCAAAACTCGCCATTTGCCTAAACGAGATATAAATATTCCAAATATGCCAAACGAAATAAATCAAGCAAAAATAACTTCAACCAATGATGGATGATTTTATGATTGAAAAGCAAAATCAGACGCGAAATTGCAGACACCGGCATATTGCATGGAATTGAAGCTGCGAGGCGTGAAGAAAAAACAAATCGCAGGAAATAATTAAAATCATTGTGGGGAAAAGTATGGCCAAATCGGAAAGTTCTGGTTGGCAACAAGTTGCATGCCTTGCATGGGCACATGGCCAATGTGGAATAATTTCGCCGGCGGCAAGTTGGCAACAGGAATTCGGATTCGGTTTAAAGAAAATAGTTTTTTAAATATTTACAAGTTTTTATCGTGGAAAATTTTATCGAACGCTATTCATAATTTCTGATGGGGAATGTAGAAGGGTTTCTGGATAAATAAACAAGTATAACGCTTTGTTTGAAATTGTAGAATACCTAGTGCAGTTGGCAAACTATTTGCATATTTACATTTATCTGTATAATTTTTACGGTGAATTAAGTACGGAAAAGGATTTTAAATTATCTGAAAATGTGTTACCAAATAAATCTCTTGTAAATAGCACTATTGAATTCAATTTACATTCGCTATGTTTAAATTTTACCAAATTGAAATATACAAAATTTTTTAAAAATATATACCAAGTTGCTATAATATTTCAAAGTTCAATTGACATTATTAAAAAATAAATTTTTTTTAACGTTTTATTTTTTTAAATCTAAAAAAAGTAAAGGACAATGATTTTTATGCGTTATTACAGTAAATCCTTAGACAACCATTAAATTAAAGTAAAACCACATGAGCCTCTAGATTATGTGAAGTACAATGAGTTGGCTACAATTATAAAATCCACTCTCTTGGCTTCAAATAATTTTCGAGCACGCTTTCGAAATAAAAACAAACACTTCCATTGACGCACCGCTCCTCGCGAAGCGATCTCTTAGCACCTCGTTCACGATCCACTCCACCTCGAGTAGATCTCGTCTAGTGCAAAGGAAAGTGCTTTTACCGATGTTTTAACTACCAACTTCACTACCCCATCCTCCAACTGCCCGCCGGCTGCTCCTAAATGTCTGGTCAAAGTGAAATTGTGACAGCTGCGGAGCAGACAAAAGCGAGACTAAAGATTGCACTAAAATAAAAGTTGGACAATATTATAAGATCACCGAAATTTTAAGACTGATCTTATCAGTGACATATATTTATATATATCCTGCTAAAGATCTAGTATTACTATCTGTGATATTATCATTTTCCAATATCTGTATCTTATAATACTTATCTTATAAATTTAGATTGATTTTCCTATGACTTTGCCCAAACCTTTAACTATCCAATATCTGAAGAAATCTAACATAATCGGATGCTGGAAACATCTCAGAATTTACTGAGATTTTAAAAACAACGAACTGGATATTTTATTTTGTTATTTAATAAAACTGTTTTCTTTTTTTTTTAGTTTTATTGGAGCACTGATCATCTGCTCTTATTTGTCAATTCTTGTAGTTAATATTAATACACCTATGTCATATGTTTTTTTACACAGTAGGTACAAGGTTCAGCATATAACTAATTTATGCATTATTTGGAATATAATTTAGTGAATCACGGGAAGGTTTTTTTTTTCCAGTGATAGCTGAGTCTTCAGACGATGCCGCAGACGGTCGAGTCCGATAGTCGGCAACAATTAAAGTCTGGCTGCGGGATGTGGCCAAACCTGTTGGCGGTGCAGACGGCGCACATAAGCTGCAGAGATGCAACTGCAAAAAGTGCGTGGAAAAAGGCGAAACATATTTTACATAATACATGAAACTTTCTATTTGACGAAGCGATGCCATAAACTGTCCAGTGAAATTGCCATCCTATGGATGCAATCCGTCCGTCCGTCCGTCCGTCCGACCGTCTGCAAGTCCGCATCTGATGGATGGATGCCTTTCATTTGCGCTGGCAAATAAAAATCATTGCTGTCGGACGCGTATCTGTTGCTGTTTTTAAAAAATTAAATGTGCCAAAAGCCGAAATATTGCAAAAAGTTTCTGAAACTCGCCACCATGTAAATGCGAATATAAACTTGGCACCATTTGCAGTTCTCGGCAGCTGGCGGACCAAGTTAAATAAAGTTAATTGCGTTTTATGCAGTTCGTCGGAGCAAAGATTGTTTAAAGATCGATAAATAAAAGAGAACCGAATGAAAAACACGGAGATATGGAGGCCAGTTTAAAAATAATTCTGCCAAGATCTAAAGTTTAAACAATTTCAAATAGGCATTAAAATCAGATATTTAAGCTGCTGTAAGTAACAACAAACAATGAGTATTTAGGTCACTTGATATTTGTTGACTGGCTGAACTCATTTAGTGCCCTTTTATGTACTTTTTGCAGATGTTGCAATTTGTACTTTAAGAGGTACGATCTGGCAGGTTTTGAGTAATTTGTATTTATAAATTTTGTTGTAAATGGCAAATGTTTACGAAATTCTAAAAATTAATTTTAAGCCTGCAAAGAAATGGTTATGTTTTCAAAATTTCTTAAAATAATTTCGAAAATGCAGCTATGCAAGAAATTTTCACAATTCCAAGAATTTAATTATATAAATTGATGCCCATTAATCATATACACTTACATATATCTTTATTTCAAAACATTTTGGGAATTCGTCTACCGATTTATTATTTTTGTCTTTTATTATTTTCGTTATTATTTTGACAATTATTTAACATAATATATTTTTAATATTAAAATGATTTATTTAACTATTTCTGGTATTGTAGTTAACTTTGAAAGGATATTTATTTACTTTTTTTTAGTAATATTATTAATATCAATGCTTTGCTTTTAGGTCAAAATTAAGTAA